TCTGTAAAGAATGAAGTATTATGATTAATGTATTTCTTTCAAGCTAATGATTTTCATACAATTTGAAACAATAACACTGTATTACTGTTAGAACTTTGAAAGAGAGTTGTTTTTTTCTTTTTCCTAGTGTGTGGGATGGTAAAAAGCAGAATTAATTCACAGCTAATGAAAGACTGGGTTTGCTCACGATATATATAACATTTTAGGGCAAATACATTTAAATACAAGCTGTTAAATGACTAGTGAACTAAAGCAGAACTGCTGTGATGCCAGAGCTAAACCAGTGTCAGTAAAAGGAGGAGGTGGCACAACACTTCTGGCATGTTCTTGCCATTACAAGTGGCTGCTCTCTGTAAATACTGTTACATTTAGTAGCTGTGGCTTTAATTTTATAGTTTGCAGCAAGTCTGCTAGATGCTTTTTGCTCTGTTGCCTTATCTAGGGCCAGGGCGTTAGGGATCTGCCACCATCCCGCAGTGCGCAGCACTGGCAATGCCCCTCGTCTATGTACAGCACCTGCTTTGCCTCCAGTCAGTCTTACCCATTGCTGCTGTCATTGTTGCTGTAGGAGCGTTTGATCTCCAGCCAGATGATGTTCATCTAGTGACTTTCTGCGTAACAGGTAAGAAAACGGTTCCATGGGGTTTAAAGTGTCTTTTGCCAGTGAAATCACAGTGCAGGGGTCTTTCCACACGTGTTGTGTAAGAAAGAGCGGAGTTCTTGAGTTCCGTGAGTTCTCCGTAGCAACTTGTAATTTTGAGGTTTATTGCTGGTGGTGTGTGTGGTGATGTCAGATAGACGATGCAGCAAGGGTTCTTTGCTTACCAAGTGCCTGTGCTTATTACCAGTTTATTTCACCAGCTTTGTCCCGTTGAAAGAGGCTGTGCACTGGTGGGTGTCTTAAGGGGTAGCTGAGAATGACCCTTATGTACCCTGACCTCCTTCCTGCAGGTCCAAATGGATTCATAAACTCATCCAGTCAGTTCATAGTGTGCGATGTCACATAAAGGAAGAAGTTATGTTGTTATCTTCCTGTAGCGTTCAGGTGCCATGTTCATCATCTTTGCAGCTCAGCACTGTTGGTGATGTACATCTTTGAAATTTGGCATTGTGGCAGTTTTGCACTGTGGGTTTCTCCCTGTAAATTGCCTGTGCAGGAAGTGGAGCAGCTGTTGGCTGGAGCTGGCTGTGCTCTTTGGCGATAAGGAGTTCTGCTCCAGATCCCAAGTGTGGTGGTACTGACCTGAACCACCTTTTCCATGGTTCTTTTGGCAACATCATGTTCTCAGTGTTCATCGATAACATACAACTAACTAAATGCTGCCCAGAAAAAAACCCCAAAGCCCTGTGAGTCTATGCATCTGACTGTTTGGTGGTTTTTTTTCCTTACAGAGCTAAATGACAGAGAAGAAGAGGATATTCACTTTCCAATCATTTATGGAATAGGTGAGTTAAATTAGAATTCAGATTTTTTTTGTAACTGGATTGCTTTTCAGATTCAAGTAGTAAATGGACAGCTGCTAATGACTGGGTAAAGCCCATCCTAAAAGTTAACAGCTGCTGTGGGAGGTGCAGGTAGAGGTAGAAGTTTTCTTCTGGTGCCCATGGAGGTGGGTGCACACATAAAAGTGACTGTGCACATGTACAGACAGATTTTATTTCATTTAACTGTACTTAGGATTTTGTCAGTATGAAGCTGCCTTCTTTTCCTTGTTCATTCTGTGCTTTTTCTGATTAGTTCCAGTGTCTCTGAAAATGTTCTGGAATATTGAAATGCTGCCAATGCAAAAAAAGGAGAAATAAGCTCTTGTAGGGTCAAGGTTCTGTGGCACTGAGAAATAGTGAATAGTATTCAGTGGGTTCTAAAGTTCCAGCAACGTAGTTGTGGTGGGGGGACAGTCATTTTAAACAAGTTCTGTAAGAATTAATTGTTTCTGTATTTAAACTCTTATTTCCTACCAGCTGTGAATGTCAAAACAGCAGAGATTTTCCCTGCAACCTTCCCAGAGAAAGGGCCGGATGAGGATTTACGTTCAGCCCATGTTTTAACAGGAGCAACGGTGAGTAAAAATAACAGGGGCAGGGGTGGAAGATTGTTTTTGCTGGAAGGGGAGACCAGTTGGGGCAGTGAACTATCAACTTTGGTGGTGTTCTGCCAGTAACAAAACACATGAGAAGGATGGACGGGCAGAGGCAAAGGACCAAACCACTTCAGCAAGGGGCTGCCTTGCGCAGTACAGCTCCCGTGTGCCGTTATGCCTAGCCCTGCCCCACTCAGCACATAACTTATATAGAGATTCAGGCCACAGGCCTAATCCCAGTCTGCTCCTGCCGCTGGGGGTTTGTTGCTGGAGTTCCATGGAGTGTTTGTCAGAAGAACCAGTTAATCCTGGTGCAGTAGGATGGACAGGGGCTGAGCTGGTGCGTGGAGCGTCCAAGACAGAAGCTGCAGCTTAAAGCCCAGCAGCTAAAGTGCACACTTCGGCTCTCCTTAGCATAGACTTTGTCTAACTCAAGCTCCCTGTGTTGTTACAGCTGACGAACATCTACGATGCAAAGATGGAACAACTGCACATTGGGCCTTATTTCTGGAGGCCTTTCCCACATGTGGATTTCTGGTTGCAACAAGATGATAAACAGATTTTACAGGTACCTGACCCTGACTTGTTTTTTCCCCTTCTAGCTGAACAGAGAGAGGGGTAGGATCTGTCAAAACCTGTCCCACTGTGCTGCTGGGAGGGGGGAAACTATCTTTTAAAAAGGCAGAATAACAGAGAACTTTGTGCTGGATGTCAAGCAGCTCTCACTCCCATCTTGTCTTTCAGAATCTTTCCACATCGCCCCTGGCTGAGCCGCCCCACTTTGTCTCCCACATTAGATCTACACTAACATTTCTAAAAGAACACCCCTTTCCATCTCGCTCCCTGTTTCCTGACAGGAAACCTCGCATCTACAAAAAAAATGAAGAAGGGTTATGGGAACAGGTTTGTTCTGACAAGATCTAACCTGGAACCAAACACCACGACTGCTTTAGGGAAGCACAGTGTTGCCAGCAGAGCCATGTGTCGCAGAAAGCGAACTGCTGGTCACCAACACCAGTGTCCTGCACTTTTCAAAATAAAGTATTTTGCCAGAGGAACTTGCTTTTTCTGCATTACTTACATAGGAGACACTGCTGCTTTGGAGTAAGAATTGGGCTTGGTTTATGTTCTGTTGCTCCACCACAGTAATTCAATGGGCACAGATAGAGAGGTAGCAGTGCTGAGAGGGTGAGGAGGTCTATTGTTACGCTGATAAGTACTGCAGATGACGATTGTCCATGCAGAGTGAAGGCAAGCAGCACACACTTAACGCTGATCTGTAGGGAAGTGGCCTTCAGCAGTAACTTGATGCAAGAGTAATAATTTGAAGAATCTTTATTGAAACATTCAGATAGTATCTAAAGAATGAAGCTTATTCCAACAAAACTACTGGTTTAACACTTCCAAATATAAAAACATTAAAAATTAATCTTGGTGGAGATAACTTTATCCCCAGCAAATTACTCTTATTAACATACTTCATTGCACCAAAGAAACCCATGAGGAAGACCAGGCAACTTAATCATGTTTGCACTTCAGAGAAACTGCATGCCGATTTACATAAATAACCCCAACAGCAAAATCAACCTTGTTCATGGCACCCAGTGCCGGATCAGAGACAGAACAATGCAACACCCCCAGATTTCACAGATTATCAATCAATCAAAGACAGTCCTCCTGCTACAGCCATCATTGTGTGCATGTACCTGCCATGGGGAGGAGAAACACCCAACCAAAACACCAATGGGCAAAGTACAGTCCTTGTATCCAGTTCTATCAGGATGGGGTGGTTTTCCTCGGAATCAGATTCCTTGGGGAAAGGAAGCTTTTACAAAGATTTCCTTCCACATGAGGCTCTGACAGTTTGCAGCAAAGAGATTAAGGTAACTGGGGGGGGGAAGACTGTACATCTTAACTTTAGATTTATCCAAAGCTTTGCTTGTGCATTAAGTAGTCCAGACACTATGAAGTTGTGCTGTAGTGTAAATAACCTATAGATTTTGAGTCTGTACAATTCCTACCATAGGTAAGTTACTGTTATTCAAAAAGTAAGTGTTGAAACCATCACAAATGTATTGGATTTTCAAGCTTTACTACAACTATCTTTAAAAATATGCAACAGAAAGAACTCCAGTTACACTACAGAAATGTGTTCAATAGTATTTGGTTTACAAAGGCCGTGCAAAGGAAAATAATGGTGTGTTGGTGATTCTTTCTGGGGGCAGAGCAAGGTTTCAGCATGCAGAGGCACTAGTTCTTTCTAAAAGGCTTAAAACTCATTAACAGAGTCCCCACTTACCTTGGGCCAAGCAGGAGGAGGTGGCTGGTGGCAACGTCCTGCTCCGTGCCTCCCACCAGCCAGCTCCACACTCACCACACTGCAGCCCTTCGGCAACCTTAGTTAGAGGGTAAAAACAGCAGCAAAAGGAGTGCGACTGCAGCGGGTGTTCTGCAGGAGCTAAACTGGATTTTAAATATTAAAAAGGTGAACAATTGGCAGTTGATTTTTTTTTAACATGTATTAACATCAAATAAGATCATTTTACAATTATTGAGTGCAACTGTATTCTTAATCATGTGCATGGCTGATTGTTTGTTAGTAGCTATTATCATGCTTAGATTCCTACAGGAAGAGTAACTGCCAACTGCTTTTACAGATGGTTATGAGCACAGAATAAACTTCACTAGTACTTTGGTGACACAGACATGTAGAGGATTAAAGCAACTGTAATACATGTACAATAACACAAACCCCTGTCCCATGGGGGAAATTATAGTTGTGCAAAATCCCAGTTAATAAGTTACAGTAGCTATTACTGTAAGAGTGTGTGGCACTGTTCACATCTTCAATGCATCATTAATGCCCTGCCTCCTGGGCACGGGCGTCCTCTGCAAGGTCCAAAATCCACAGTTGGGATTTTATCTTTGACTTCCTTGTTCCTCTGCCTCCGTGCAGTCACGTGGCGGTTGGTCACTCTGAGTAGCCTCAGTGTCTGTTGTTGCTGCCTTTGCCACCTCCTTTTGCTCCTCCAGTTTTTGTGTTTCCAAAGGTCCTTGTTCTGGGCCAGGGGACAGAGCTGGGGCTCTCTGGTCTGTCTTCTCCAGGTCATCACAGTGGCTGACGGAGCTGGTCTCACTGAGTGCATCAGAACTTCTGAGAGACCTTTTAAAGACTTTCTGACCTGTGGAGCATTTGAAGAATACAGCACTGATGGAGGCAGCAAATGCACAAGGTGGTTCACACAAGTTCAGTTTCAAAGAAAGCATGTGAATTTGACAACTGCAAAAAAATTGATTGTATTTGGGTGCTAGCTTGTACCCTGAACATCAGCTGCAGTCACAGCCTGGTACTTGAGCTGCTGCTTTATCCTGTGTACACCGAGGTTGTTGAGATTCAACTGAAAACCAAGCTGCCTCCACAGACAAAGTCCTTCTAGGGTAAAACCTTGCACTGGAAATCACAGGAGCCAAACCAGCTCAAAAGGTGAGCTAAAAACAATGGTTTTCCCACCACTCCCATTAACATTAATTACAAATACAGCTATGCAGAAAGTGCCACAGCTTAAACAGATCTCTGCCTTAGAGTTACTTTCTCCAGAAACTATTTAGGTAGCAATAGAAATGCAGTTGCTCAAATACATGATTATACATTATTTATGCTTTTATTTGAAATAAAACTTTTTGCTTGTTTAACCAGTCATTTTAAAACTCAAGAACCTCCTAATACTCCAGAGAAAGATTCTCCAAAGTCCATGGCAAGTTGTCAGTTAATGGGATAACAACGTCTTGCAGTCCCAGGAAGAATTCTCAGGGAGAATGCAGACTGGGGTGCTGTTGCATGCCATGTTTATATTCAAGTTTTAAAGGTGGACTTAAGGCACCAGAAGATGAGCTCTGGTTCCAGATATTGCAAAAGATGGAAAATCACATGGGCCTTCCTGTGCCATGAAACACAGAGGGCAGGATGATTTAGCAAGTTTTAGAAATAAAACTAAGACATGGAAACTTACCAGGAAGTCTTTGCTTTGCGAGGCTGGAAGCAGGAGTTGGTGGTGGAGTAGTGCCTGTCCCTTGGGCTTTTGATATGTACATAGATTCCGTGGATTCCAGAGAGCCTGCAGGTTAAAAACAAAAAATACCAAGTTAAATATAGCACAGACTAGACCAGTTTTGTGTTCAATAGCATGGACAAGGTATGTAACCATCTTATTTTTAACGCGCGTTTCTGAAACTGAACGTGCCAGGTTGAGATGAAACTGCCACTGGCTGGTAGTCCATTTCCCACTATGCAAACTGGGGACACACAAAGATGAATAAAGTGTCCCTTACACTCACTGCACAGCACTGCAACATCCAGTTGTCCTCCCTCTCTCCTCCACTGGACACTTGACATGTCCCTACCACCAGCTGTTAGGCAGTGTGCATGGAAGAGGTAAGTATCCCCAAAGAAACCTCACTGTTCTCTGCCGTAAGAATCTCCCCACTGGTGCATCAAGACTCAGAAAGCAAGCTGCCAGTACAGCAGAAAGACTTAATTCAGAGACACACAGACAGCTGGGCTGTTGTTCTGGGGCCAAACACACTTGGCCAAATTCACACTCTGCCACAATTTTTACGGTGAAAATTTACGCTTTTAGAAGTATTGCGTTAGTACCTCAGCCTGCACGATGTTAAAGCTACAGACAGTTCCATTCACATCACTAGACATGAATTACAAATATATGAGTAAAATAATAGTCTTTTATATTGTAACACTCCATTCACTGCTGTCTCCCCCAAAGCCAGGTTTACACTAGTCCTCAGCTAGTTTTTGCCTGTCCTTGTCAGGCATCATACTCCTCAGCCTGCAAACCAGTGCTTCAGTGTGGCCACAGCCAGAGCATCCCTCAGAGCAGGATATCGGAGACATCAAGTTCCAGTAGCACCATGGAACACAAGTGCTGCTTTGCAACCACCACCCTGAGGATACACAAGTACATACATGGAGAAGCCACCCTGCCAGCTTACATACTTGCAGAACCAAACACCAAACTGCTGCAGTGCATGTAACCAAAAGTCACAGAAATGATTCCTCTATTAATAAATCCCAAAGTCTAATACAGCTTTTTAAATGTGACTCAACAGGCAAGGACAAAAAGTAAACCGTACTGTGAGGTTTGAAGACTGAATTACTGTTTGTCACAGGAATAGTGAAAAACACATTCTGCATCCTGAGGGTGAGTTATGTCATGATCAAATCAACACAAGAAAATGTGTTGCAATTTTAGTATAAAATTGGAAACAGTTCTAATGACAATGTAACACAGCTGCAAATGCACCAAGTCCTACCTGCTGTTAAATTAAATGTTCTTCCCTTTGGTGAGGCTTGGAACGGAGAAAACCAGTTCAGCACAGAGCCTACTACAGGTATCTGTCGTAGCAGTCCCTGCAAAGTACACAGTCACTGGCTGGTGAGCACATGACCCATGTTGTGACAAGTTACTTCAAGTTACTGAATAACTAACTTTTCTGCCCTTACCTCTTCCAGGAGTCGTTCTTCATTTGCTTTCTGAAGCTGAAGTTGTGCTTCCTGTATCCCTTTTCTAACAACTTCAGTCATATTTTCCAACAGCTAATAAAAAACCAGAAATTATATTTTAAAATATATTATTTAGGCTTGAAGTTGTCTTTAGTTAAGATTTTGATTATGTAGATAAGGTAGTCAGATATTATTCCAATTTAAGACAGTATCTGACAATCACTAGTTCACTCTGACTTATTAAAGAATGTAGAGGCTGACTGCAGGATTTTTAAAAGCCACACCCAGAGAACAGAATGTCAATTTAAACAGGACTGGAAAGTAGTTTTCTTTTACTTGGAAATAAGCCTATGACCCAAATTCTTCAAAGATCTGCTCAGCACATAAGTGTTCATCAGATGCTGAATCTGACAGAAAGAGTTTTAGGTTTAAAGACCACAGTCTGGTTTCCAGAAGTACCCAGAACTTAAGCCAGACCCACTGTTAAGTCTGACCAGGTATGTGTCAGTCTAGTTTAGCTTTAGTTTTCAAGTTTAACTGGTAGTTCATGACTGCCATTCTGATCCCAGCATCAGTGATGTTTCATACCACACAGGACAGGCAGTTCAGTGGGTGAGCTGTAGGGGCAATAAATGAACAAACTCAAGCAGTCAAAAAAAAGTCACAGTTTTGTCTTGTGCCAGACAAACACCAATTTCCATTGGTGTTTGATATTGCACAGTATGATATTAAAGGCACAAGGTCAGCTGACAGGCACCTCCTCCAAAATACCAAAAATCTGGGTTACTGTCAGTTAATAAAACCAAAGGAAACGAGGAAGCTACTCCTTTTCCCTGGGGAAGAGGCAAGCCAGAATTGACCACCACAGCAACTGAACATCCCACGGTACTGACTGCAGAAGGGAGTGCAACAGGACTGCAGTTAGAGTACAGAGAACCACCACTGGGTTTTCTGGTCCAGTCAAGATGTTTGCCTTGAGTTTTTGTTCTGCCTTTTAGTGTACTTACCTGTATGTCCTAAGGGCTTGCTGATAGTGAAGTTTTTTTTCCCCTAAAAGCTGCCCTCTTGCACCAAACATCAGTTCTCTAAATGATACATCAGTCTCAGAGATGGGTTCTGCTTCTCACTTCTGGATCAAATAGTGTGAGCTCCTTTCAGAGCCACAGATTTATTGTAGCTGGTTGCAAGGACTGCATCTTCCCTAGTTCTCCACTTCTTGTTCCACCCTAGAAACTTCAGGATCAGAGTGTGCCACATCCCACCATTCGATTCTAATCTCTCAACTACTACAATTAAAAACCTGAAGATATTCTACAGGCAGAGCATCCTTCATCTCACCCATAAAGCAGCATAGGAGTCAAGGGTGGGCAGAGAGTCTCCAGAAAACACTACCAGAGAAAGTTGCATTGCCAAAATCAATGTATTCCCATGGGCAGAAATAGACAAAGGATTTCTGAAGTTCTATTTATTTTTAGGTGAGGAAAAAAATTCCCCAACGCTAGAGGAATGAAAGGACAGACATTCATTTGTAATGCAGGTCATTTAGGAATTCTACTTCAGAGAACATATGGAGAACTTTCATCAGGTAAATGCTTTTACAAAAAGGAGCTGTATCATCAGCTTTATTACTTCAACAGGTAATTTGTAATTTCCATTTTTAAGCTACCCATTTTTTTTTCCCCCACACATTTTAGGGCACAGTCTTTCTTACCTTAAAGCTGGTATAGAAACAATCTCGATCCCACCACATCTAGTGATGATGAGAAACACCAGCTCAAATCAACCCCCCCCCTTCCCTATTGTTCTTTATTTTTCTGCCGATTTAAACTGGAGTGATGAAATGAGGTGATTTCAGTACTACTGAAGTTTTCCATTAGAACTACTGAACAGAGGACCACGAACATAAACCATGACACCCTTGGAATATCATAATCCTGTAATAAAAGTTCTCCTTATGTGGACACAGATTATTACTTCCACAGTAATTACACAGTCTGTTGCAGGCAAGTACAGTTTTTGCTTTCACAAAGAACAAAACCATGTCCTGAAGCCAGTATGAAAAGGAAAAAATAAAGGTTCTGGAATGCTCTGTGATTTATTAATACCTACTCTTGAATTTTCTTCAATTTCTCTGCCTGTTGCTGCTATAGTTTCAACTAACTCAGACACGTCCAGATCCTCAGTTACCATGCCAATGTAAACGCAGTTCTTCTGCCCTCCAAATTCTGGACCTGTGAGCACAGGGAGAATCAAGTCTTTGTGATGTACAAAAGTCCATCCTCACAATAATTGCACTACTCAGGCTTGCAAATCTGGAAATCCGAATGTACACACATTTGGTAATTAAGGACAGTATCTGCACAGGCATAAATGATGCCAGTAAAAAAGCTCAGCTCTCTGGGTTTTCAGAAAGAGAAAACATCTAAGAAAAACAGCGGGTATTTTAGACAGCCAAGGAATTGTATAATAAATATCAGTGTTGAATATGCTTCAAACTCATTACTCTCTGCCATTTACAGGTTACTTGGTTCCACAAATCTGAGGCACTTGATTTTTGAAAGCTGACTAGAAAGACATCAGAGTCTGAGTAAGCACATGATTACTACTTCAGCTATAATGTGGCACTGTGTCCATGTGAAACTGCTGCTAATCATCATGAAAGTCATCTGAAGCTTTTAATGTAGCCATAGAACGCAGTGAACTGGTCAGTGGGGTTTGAAGGAGATCTGCTTTCACCTAGGTGAGCACTAGCCGAGAAAGCTCAGTTTACAAAGAACACTGCAGCTTTTATTCTTTCTGACAAGGAGACCCCTTTTGGTCTAGTTACCCATAAGTCAGTTTTCACAAGTGCTTTTGACAACACTGCACCTTTTTTGAACACTGACTAGCTGAAACAGGGTGAGGAGAAAAAGTTACAGATGTTATTTCTACAATAACCATATACACAGCAGTGTAACTCTAACCTGTGTACAAATGACCTACAGAACCATTACAGCACAGCCAGGAAAATGACCATTAGCTTGAACAGACGTATTTTTAGTGCAGTTACCCAAAGAAAAAGTGAGATCCGACTCCAGTTCACTTAATTTCTTCAGAAGCTCTGTATTGATTTTTTCTAGTTCTTTTTCTTGTTTGTCATCATTCTTCCCATCACTGTGATAGTTGTATCTTCAAACCAAGCCACAAGACAGTAATTTCACTTTACAGTACGAACAAAAGTATATAGGTATTTAGTATGTTTCTACAGATTTCTTTATTTTATGAACTGAAATCTCAGAACATCACAGCTTAGATCAACAAGTTTATTGGCATTTGTAATCAGAGATTTTGGGGTGGGATGAGCTTGCTTCTGCAAAGTGAACTGAACACAACAGATTTCTAGGTAATGTATTGATTGTACTTCAACTATTCTGACTACTCAGAATCCTTCTCAGAAGACTGTATCAGAGGATCATAACAGACAATTGAAAGGGTTAAGTGGCATTCAGTGTATCAGTGAACCCCATTATAAACAAAAATTTAAGTTGCACTTGGCTAGATAAAGCAGGATGGACTTGCATGTTACATTTCCATCTAGCAGATCCACATGCTGCCTGCAATATTAAACTGTTGATCTAATTTTGCTAAAACAGCTCTTAAGTTTTTCTTAAAAAACAAATATAAACAACATTAAAAATGTAATTTTTTAAAAGGTACTCAAAAGCTTCACATGGGTGCAAAGCCAGATAATAATCATCAAACAACACTCCAGATCACCATTAAGGAGACCATATTCCCTTCTGTTCATGCATGGTCTATCAAAAAATACAAGGAAAAAAATATTCAGCATTTTACCTTACAACACCTAATCCTGGCCAGCTGAGATCTTCAATATACAACAGGCCTGCTGTTCTTCTCACTTCTTGCTCAAATTCCTCTCTCAGTTGCAGCGTGCTTGTCAATACTGGTATCTTCATTTTTAAGCAGTCTACTAACTGATCAATATCTTGTATTTCAGTTCCTAAAACTAAAGAGCTGATGTGTTAGTGAGTGATAAAAGTGAACGGACATCACACAGATGTCTAAATTAAATAATCTGTAAAGACACTCTAAATTAACCATAAGTATAATTTACAGATAGAAGAATAGTTATTTACAGACAGAAGCATCTTTATCTCTGTAACAGCATTTTTTTTCTTTAGTTATCTATCCACTGATACATCAAAATGGAGAGAGCTACGGATTTAATTTAAAATAAGCTAATAAAAAAGATTTCTTGGTGTTACAAACTAATAAGGACAACACCTGTTTTCACTACATCAGTAGCTACCATCAGAAAAATTCCTCCTCCCATAGCCAAACAGATGACGAATCAGCTTCCATGCTGGTGTAAAACCCAAAACAAAATGTCATAGCATCACCAAGTAGTTTTATTCCAAAATCTAGTTTCCTGTGTATACCAGGATCCTCTCCCATCAGTATCAGGTGCTTTGACAGCCTAAGCCATTCAGCCCACCCAACCTAAGAGGCGATACCATGCATCACTCTGAGCTCCTGAAAGTTGTTCTATGTGTCTGCTGAGTCTAAACGAAGTATGTATATAGTGATGGCTTAAACATGACATTTAAGACATTTCCAAAACACAGATTACTTTTTAATTCTCCCCCTACCCCCCATCTGTAATTATAGAAAAACCTAGAGGTTTAGTAAACAACTCTTCTACTTAAGTAGCTGTATTTTGAACACAAGCACCATTTCAGTGTTGAAATACCTGTGTAGAAAGGTCAAGCATCTTGTGTCAAGGAGCTGAGAGAAAGGAAAGGTAGGGATGATTTATCCTTCATATTTCTTTCATAACTGTTAGAAACCAAGAGCTTCTCCCTTTGAGTTTCCTAATGGATTTAAAGTGATCAGTAGAAGACTTTCTGTGCAGAGGTAGCAAGGCAATGCCACCCACAACAGCTGAGCTACCACTACGACACCCATTGCCAGAGCAGAGCAGGATGATAAAGCTGAGATAGTTTTGTTTGTAAGAAAATCCTCACCATAGGAAAATACACTGAGGATTTTCTTGAGCTTCTACAGCAGGTGATTATTGTACAATTCTATAGCAAATCCCAGTTTTTTACAAGTGGCTGAATTAAGTGACTGTTACCTGCAGAAGTCATTAGTGGGCTAAAACGCACGCATGTGCCTTCATCTTCCAGTTCCACCACATCCACGCCGCTGGCTGGAACCAGCTGTGCCAGCTGCTCTCCTAGCTGAAGGGATACAGCAGTTAGGGATGCATGAAGCATGGTCCAGCAGTCACTGACTCAGGCCTAGACTCTTCCCATAGTTAAGGAGAACCACAGGCTAAACAGTTTTCTGTACTTCTCAAATCATTTCTTGTAGCAAAACACTTTAGCTTGCTGGTGATGTGACACAGTTTGGTATATACTTAAAATCATGAAAATTCAGCATAACCTACAAGTGTTACAAGTCAGAAGTTTCTACCAAACTGTCACTGTTGTTCAGTATGCCATGATTACTATGTAATTGATCCAAAATAGTTACAAATAGTTATGTGCTCAGGCCTCTGAAAGCATAGGTTTCTAGAATTAATTCTCTTCAGATCTGGAAAAGACTGTCTATTTGTGAACACACACTGGCAATGAAGCATAAGCTGATTTTAAAAGTTCTGAAGTTTTCACATATTCTCACAGACCAAGTGAAATAATTCACTACCAATAGCTTAAGATATAATTTCAGTAGTAATTACATGTAAAATAATCAGAAATGTGAAAGCAACTTTGCCTCAGAGCAAATTAATTCTTTAATTACATGTAAAATAATCAGAAATGTGAAAGCAACTTTGACTCAGAGCAAATTCATTCTTTAAATCCACTAGTTTTGCAAAGGATATCGGGTCAAGAAGAACTATCAAATTAGTCTGCCAAAGGTTTGATAGTTACTGATGAACCCCTGGAAGCATCCCACTGTCACTTCTTTTTGCCTAAAGAGAAAAAGCATCCATTCTTACCCACTGATTGAAAGTGTCATAAACGTGTCTTTCGTTGCTTATTATGGGGTGCTGAATAGTTGAGGCCTGTGCAGCATGTGAGGTTTGATCTGAATCCAAAGATACAAGAATCACAGAAGTGGATTTTTATTTACTTAATTAAACAAAAGGCAACCTAAAATTTAGATAAAAGACAATTACATTTCCTAGGTAATGTAACACTTCTACATGATGTACTGGTCCTCAAGCAGACTAACAAGGATTATTATTTTTCTTTTAAGGTACGAACATGACAAATACTAGTAATAAATCAGGAAAGAAACAGTAAAATAATTAAGTTTTGAGGTTCAAATGCCCCAATGCAAATAAAACCAGTGTTTTCACAAAGCAAAATCCTGTCACAAAACCAAGGAAGATCTTCCCCCATCAGTACACTCAAACACAGCTTGCAGCTTATGAGACTTCCAGCATCTGCTCTCAAGATCAAAATCATATGCAAATCTTTCCTCGCTCAAGAAGGCAGAAAATGACTTGTTATGAAAATTTAAAACACTGCAGTCTATCTAAAAAAAGAAGCTATCACATACATGGATTCTATCACCAGATTACAACCAGCTTTCACAGTCTTTTTCAAAACATGTTACGCAAGAGAAGCATGTAACATTTACTTCAAACTCATTTTATGAATTAGTAGTCTATAGTTTTTTTTAAAGAGGGGTTTTTTTTATTATTATTTTGGTTTGTCTTTAAATAAATCACATACCTCTATTTGAATATTCTTGGAAAAACTTGAAAACCACCACTGGTGAACTCAGCTCATCTTCAACCTTAAGGAAAAACAAAGTTTAATATATTTTCACTTTTCTTTTTAAGGATTTAACACTGTGTATGTTTCATTAGCCTGCTGAGCAAAGCAGATCATTTTGTTTTGACAGCAGTAACAATGTCCACAGTATCTCAGTATTAGAAGTTAACTCTAGGAGTGCAAGTAATCATATCTGTAAACACAAGAAAGTAAATTATTATTCAGTTTAAGCAGAATTGTACTGATTTAAGGTACGTGTAATTAAAATTTGGGCACTATAAAAAAAAGACACCTAAATATGTTCATTAGCAAATATACTGTATTAAATAGTTTATTTAGCTTTAAGTATTTTCAGATATTAATGTTAAAAAATTCTTCTGGAAATCGCCCCAGAATCATTAGAGAACATCAAGAAAGATTTTTTTTAGGAATAACAAGACTATAATTGATCTTGCTTTAGGGATAAGGGAAATGAACTGGGCAGCTTCTGGAAGAAATCTGAGGCTACATTTCACAATCCTAAACTCAAAAGACTTAAGTAGAAGGGGGAAGTGCTACAGTAACTTGAACTCCCAAGGCCCCTAACACTCTTTGAAAAACAACCTTTACAAAAATGGTTGTTTTCACTCAAAATGATCCATGAATTATCTATTGCTCCAGAAAACCAAGCTGACTATTTTCTATACATGAAGCGTAAATTCAAACTGGGAGTAGAGGGGGAATAAAACCACCAGATCCTGTTCAACAGGACATCTCACAGAAACTAAATTTGGAATGAATCCATTAGATGTAATTTCTAAAGCTATTTCTGGTGTAAAAACCTCAGCTGGGATAGTTTTTGCATACAATTTCACAGGGTTCATATCATCATCTCAACAGCAGGGTAAGATATAGCCAGAATGTACTAGTTAGGCTTATGGAAACTGGTTTCACGAATGTATCAGTTAACAAATCCACGCTTTAAATGGAATTAAATCAACCTCTGGAAAAAATTTCAGCTTGTTGTTCTGTCAGCTCCACTGAGTGTATGAGCGCACAGCAATGGAACAAACACAATCTACAGGTCACACAGAACCAAGCCACGCAATTTTACTGAACACCAGAACTTACTTAGAAAGATACCAAGCATCTTTAAAACAGTGGTTATTATTTCAGTAATATTTTTAAATATTTTGTTTTAATCAAATTATTCTTATCATTTAACAAGCAAAGACTAAGCTACACAACTGAAGTATTAAATATAAACTGTACCGAAGTTTTAATGAAATCCAGGTTTTTCAAGTTCTCCAGCAACCTTTGACTCTAAAAGACCACAGCAGAAGGAAAACAAAAGGAAGAAACAAATTCACAGTTTTAGAAATAGAAAATTATTCTGAAAAACATTAAACAGTCACTATCACAATTTCTATTTCTGAACAAAACCCAACCACACATCAGCAATTCATCCACTTCTTATTTGTAAATCTGTTGACAAAGTTCCAGAGATCTTAACTCCATTGACTAACTAAAGCACAGTACGTAGCAGAACTGTTAATTTTCTCACTGCTACCATAGCAACTGGGTTGGGTGGCTTTCTGAATTATTTTCAGTAGAAAAGATATTCTTAAATTGTGGTTTAAGACTATTAATAGGCTAGTATAAAAGCTAAGATCAATCTCAGATGACACAATTTTAATGACTAATGGTACTCTGTCACTCTTTTAGGTCTTTCATGCCAATAGCTTCTTCACTAATCATTATAGAAACTTTCCATTTTGCCTTTCTTTGATTTTTTTTGTAAACGCTATACCTTCAAGGAAAAAATTCTTTGCCAATAAATAATGCATTTCTTAACTAACACATTATATTGGTTTTTACTAGGGTAAGGACTCCACTTCAAAAACAGTGCAATTTCCACTGTATCTGAAGAAATGTTTTGAAGTCCTTTTTGTCAGGCATTTATAATTTACTATTACTTAAACCAATACAATGCCAAGTAGAGTAGGAAAATAAAAAAGTCTTTCTCTGAATAGCTTTCAAGCAAAATAGTTTAAATAGAGCAGTGACAGAAATTAAGTGATTTTATTACTTCACTGTTCAGAAATAACAAAGGTTAAGTCTTTCTCATTTAAAAACCCACTATCTAATAGTAAAAGCACATCCCTTCCCCAAACACTTTTTACTCTGCTTTCATAATTTGTAACACAGTATGAACCAATATGCTATACTGTCAACAACTACAGTATTTTTAGTTGATTCTTCTACAGTGCATCAAATAATGAAAACAAGATGTATTATAAAAACATTCCTAAGTATAACTGTGTTCTGGATATCATTTGTACTGTCCTTGCTATCTGAACTCTGTTTCTGCTTGGAGACTCGACCTGTTAAATCAGATGGTGAGCATTCTTAAGAACAGTCTCCAACCCATAATCAAAGAAGCAAAGGATCCATAAATAATGTGCTGTTGCTTACCAGTTGCGAGGCATGCTTTATCCTCTCCACAATCCCATCGTGGCCCAGGTACTGCAAGGAGAGCCACAGTGGCAGGGCTCGGAGCTTCTCTACAGGCTGACTTGATGTCAGCCCAGCTGCTAAGGACTGAAGAGGAAAATAAACAATATCGCTCTTCAATTATTCCATTTTTGCAGCTTATGGAATATGTTACAGATTAAACAGGGGAGATTTGCAAATTATAATTTAGATGCTTGTGAAGAATAAGACACTACACCATGATCAAAATCACAGTTTCAAGATCTTGAGAATAACAATTGAGAAGCTGAACATACCAAAGATGGATCCTCATGTCTGTAGAGTGTCACTGCGGGTACAGCCGGGAGGCCCAGCCAGGAACCCAGAGTAAGAGTCATGCTGTCACATTTTGTAGCAGCCTGAAGTTTATTACAATGAGCAGAATATAAGCCAAATAAATTTTAATAAGATCATGACCTTAAAATCTAGAGCACATTATTAAGTTTCTAGATACAGTAAAACATACCAGTACAGAAGAGGAGACATAACCCAAGGCCAAAGTTGCCAAATTCACACTAGAAAAAGAAAGTGGGTTTAGCAGATATTAAACATGTATTAAGAAATAGTATTTTAATCTTCAGTTTAAACATTTCATGTTTATATGTAAAGGGAGGTAATTTTTGTTTGTTTATTTTTCATTAACAATGCAGTAGATGTTGCTACTTGATTTTCCAAAATTGAAAACCCAAAAGTAAAAATCCATTTCAACCTAAAAATGTTTCAGTCCAACCTTTGGGGAAATCATCCCCCAAAGTCCTACTCATAACTCATCATTGATTTGGCATCAGAAATAAACAGGATGCAAATATAACACTGTAAAATGAAATATCAAAAGAAACAGAGCTTCTACTCCAGGCTCAAAAAAAAAAAGGAATTTCTTTAAATCTTAGAGCACTGGAGTCTTCATTAACACTGTCTAAGTTCTTGAAACCTTTTTTCCTTTTGGTTTAAGCCTCCTCTAACTATGTTGCACACTTGCAGCAGTCTTCTTGACAACCTTCATTGAAGTGTCATCTCTTCCACACTCCTTTCATTCTCCTTTCTCGTTCTCAATAATCACTGTATAATGTCTCCCATGACTTGTCCCATAAGGTCTTTTAATTCATATTCCAAGCTCTTCAAAGCAATGGCAAATAAGATTACCATCTGAGCAAATGTAACCACTGACCTATGCTGAAATAACCACTCCAATTAATTATTCCCATATATGTAAAACAATTTGTGACAAAATTATAACTATTTAAAATGCTTAATATGACAAAGATAAAGATGGTCCTATGGCTCTCTACTAGCTGGTTAGCTGTAGGATTATGTGCTCTCTGTTATTCTTGTTAATGAACATAGTTCTACATAAATAAACATCAAGTTTCATACCCTTCTACATGGAGCCACATGTTATACTGCTCACAAAGTTCCTTCAGTCGGCCAAGTTTATCTGTGTGCCCAGCACCTGGTGTTCCTTTGTGGAAAAGGAAAGAAGGCAATGACAAAGGATAAGCCTGCAGACTAGGACTACATAAAAGGACCTCTTGTACTGTTGTCAAAAAAGTCACACAAGAGCAGGACAGAGGATGTTTTCAAAAAGCCCACTACGCAGTATTAGTATCTGGTGCATTGTTACTTATGAGCAACTGGAATTCTAGACAAAAAAACCTAAAGATACTTGTTTTGCTTGTAAAATGTAACATAATATATTTTATAT